CAGGGTGAAATATTCTGTTTGGCCAGACACTGCAGTGACAGGGTGAAATATTCTGTTTGGCCAGACACTGCAGTGACAGGGTGAAGTATTCTGTTTGGCCATACACTACGGTGACAGGGTGAAGTATTCTGTTTGGCCAGACACTGCAGTGACAGGGTGAAGTATTCTGTTTGGCCAGACACTGCAGTGACAGGGTGAAGTATTCTGTTTGGCCAGACACTGCAGTGACAGGGTGAAGTATTCTGTTTGGCCAGACACTGCAGTGACAGGGTGAAGTATTCTGTTTGGCCAGACACTGCAGTGACAGGGTGAAGTATTCTGTTTGGCCAGACACTGAAGTAACAGGGTGAAGTATTCTGTTTGGCCAGACACTGCAGTGACAGGGTGAAGTATTCTGTTTGGCCAGACACTGCAGTGACAGGGTGAAGTATTCTGTTTGGCCAGACACTGAAGTGACAGGGTGAAGTATTCTGTTTGGCCAGACACTGGAGTGACAGGGTGAAGTATTCTGTTTGGCCAGACACTGCAGTGACAGGGTGAAGTATTCTGTTTGGCCAGACACTGCAGTGACAGGGTGAAGTATTCTGTTTGGCCAGACACTGCAGTGACAGGGTGAAGTATTCTGTTTGGCCAGACACTGCAGTGACAGGGTGAAGTATTCTGTTTGGCCATACACTACGGTGACAGGGTGAAGTATTCTGTTTGGCCATACACTACGGTGACAGGGTGAAGTATTCTGTTTGGCCATACACTGAAGTGACAGGGTGAAGTATTCTGTTTGGCCAGACACTGCAGTGACAGGGTGAAGTATTCTGTTTGGCCATACACTACGGTGACAGGGTGAAGTATTCTGTTTGGCCATACACTGAAGTGACAGGGTGAAATATTATGTTTGGCCATACACTACGGTGACAGGGTGAAGTATTCTGTTTGGCCAGACACTGCAGTGACAGGGTGAAGTATTCTGTTTGGCCAGGCACTGCAGTGACAGGGTGAAGTATTCTGTTTGGCCATACACTACGGTGACAGGGTGAAGTATTCTGTTTGGCCAGGCACTGCAGTGACAGGGTGAAGTATTCTGTTTGGCCAGACACTGCAGTGACAGGGTGAAGTATTCTGTTTGGCCAGGCACTGCAGTGACAGGGTGAAGTATTCTGTTTGGCCATACACTACGGTGACAGGGTGAAGTATTCTGTTTGGCCAGGCACTGCAGTGACAGGGTGAAGTATTCTGTTTGGCCATACACTACGGTGACAGGGTGAAGTATTCTGTTTGGTCAGACACTGCAGTGACAGGGTGAAGTATTCTGTTTGGCCATACACTACGGTGACAGGGTGAAGTATTCTGTTTGGCCAGACACTGCAGTGACAGGGTGAAGTATTCTGTTTGGCCAGACACTACGGTGACAGGGTGAAGTATTCTGTTTGGCCAGACACTGCAGTGACAGGGTGAAGTATTCTGTTTGGCCAGACACTGCAGTGACAGGGTGAAGTATTCTGTTTGGCCAGACACTACGGTGACAGGGTGAAGTATTCTGTTTGGCCAGACACTGCAGTGACAGGGTGAAGTATTCTGTTTGGCCAGACACTGCAGTGACAGGGTGAAGTATTCTGTTTGGCCAGACACTGCAGTGACAGGGTGAGGTATTCTGTTTGGTCATACACTACGGTGACAGGGTGAAGTATTCTGTTTGGCCATACACTGCAGTGACAGGGTGAAGTATTCTGTTTGGCCAGACACTACGGTGACAGGGTGAAGTATTCTGTTTGGCCAGACATTGCAGTGACAGGGTGAAGTATTCTGTTTGGCCAGACACTGCAGTGACAGGGTGAAGTATTCTGTTTGGCCAGACACTGCAGTGACAGGGTTAAATATTCTGTTTGGCCAGACACTGCAGTGACAGGGTGAAATATTCTGTTTGGCCAGACACTGCAGTGACAGGGTGAAGTATTCTGTTTGGCCATACACTGCAGTGACAGGGTGAAGTATTCTGTTTGGCCAGACACTGCAGTGACAGGGTGAAGTATTCTGTTTGGCCAGACACTGCAGTGACAGGGTGAAGTATTCTGTTTGGCCAGACACTGCAGTGACAGGGTGAAGTATTCTGTTTGGCCAGACACTGCAGTGACAGGGTGAAGTATTCTGTTTGGCCATACACTACGGTGACAGGGTGAAGTATTCTGTTTGGCCATACACTGCAGTGACAGGGTGAAGTATTCTGTTTGGCCAGACACTACGGTGACAGGGTGAAGTATTCTGTTTGGCCAGACACTGCAGTGACAGGGTGAAGTATTCTGTTTGGCCAGACACTGCAGTGACAGGGTGAAGTATTCTGTTTGGCCAGACACTACGGTGACAGGGTGAAGTATTCTGTTTGGCCAGACACTACGGTGACAGGGTGAAGTATTCTGTTTGGCCAGACACTACGGTGACAGGGTGAAGTATTCTGTTTGGCCAGACACTACGGTGACAGGGTGAAGTATTCTTTTTGGCCATACACTGCAGTGACAGGGTGAAGTATTCTGTTTGGCCAGACACTACGGTGACAGGGTGAAGTATTCTGTTTGGCCATACACTGCAGTGACAGGGTGAAGTATTCTGTTTGGCCATACACTGCAGTGACAGGGTGAAGTATTCTGTTTGGCCATACACTGCAGTGACAGGGTGAAGTATTCTGTTTGGCCAGACACTACGGTGACAGGGTGAAGTATTCTGTTTGGCCAGACACTGCAGTGACAGGGTGAAGTATTCTGTTTGGCCAGACACTGCAGTGACAGGGTGAAGTATTCTGTTTGGCCATACACTACGGTGACAGGGTGAAGTATTCTGTTTGGCCATACACTACAGTGACCAGAATTATTAGGAGTTATGGTTCCTCTTCCTGCCTCCTGTTTCCTCTCCTCTGGTGACACAAACACACACACACACACACACACACACACACACACACACACACCATGAAAGAGGTACATTATTTTAGCAATCCATCTGGTTTCTTCTGGTGCCTCATTTCAAATACTCTATCTGTGCTTGATTGGGCTTGTCTGGTGCAATGGAACCAATATAAACCCTGCCCACCTGGCAATCCAGGCAGGCTAAAGCAAGTATTTGAAAGATTTCAAATAGTATTTGAACCCAGTTTGGCTTCCTGGTATCATGAGGAGCTCGAGGACTGCTGGATAAATTGGCTACACTGCTGAAAACTATTTTATTTCCTGTCTCAGATAGTCTGCCAATATATCTGTCTTCCCTCTTCTCGTGTGTGTGTGTGTGTGTGTGTGTGTGTGTGTGTGTGTGTGTGTGTGTGTGGGTGTGGGTGTGTGTGACAGACAGAGAGAGAGAGTCAGAGGGGTTGTACTTAGATGGTTCAAGTGAACGTGTTGTACTAATATGGAGCTGGCAGAGAGGCAGGAAACTCTGAACTGAGGGGGTGAATGGAGAGGGAGAGAGACAGGGAGGGAGGGAGAGAGGGAGAGAGGGAGGGAGGGAGGGAGGGAGGGAGGGAGGGAGGGAGGGAGGGAGTGAGTGAGTGATGGGATTGGGAAGGAGAGAGGAGTAGAGCAGCGAGGAAGAGAGAGAAGAACACAGACCAGGAGAGATATGGGGGAAACGTTGAGGGAAACTAAGGGCTATAAACTTGACATGTTGTTGGATGACTATTGTAGAATGTCTTGGCCGGGTACACAAAACAAAGAGCAACAGGGTTGTTCCATGTCATTTCAGCAAGCCATGACACCCACCATCTCAGATTGTTCTGAAATCGTTTCTGTACTTAGAAACAGATAAGATTAGCATTTCTGAAACATTATATTATAAATTTAATTTGATCTCTGAGAAATTAAGCTAATTGATTGCACCCAAATTGGCCATTTTAATTTGTAGGATTCATATAATCTTCAATAAATATAGTACCTAACATCTGATTTGGACCATAATTCTTCCAAAAATTAGTAAGACATGAGCAATCCAATAAAATAGTAAAAAGCTAATTTCTCAGAACAGGGGGAAAAAACATCACCAGATTCAGAGGGATACATTACATAGGATGAAGAAGCAATACTCCAAGCCACAGCTTCATACTACTTGTCAAACATAGAGAACTGATACTGTATAATGGTTGTTGGGATGGGATTGGCGTGGGGCGTGGGGGGTCTGTGGGTGGCTTTTTACCATTTCATAGGATTCCTCATGTTTTACTTATTGTTAGGAAGAATTATGGTCCAAATCGGATGTTAGGCACTATCTTTATTGATTATTATATGAATCCTATATATTAAAATGGCCAATTTGGGTGCAATCAATTAGCTTAACTTCTCAGAGATCCAATTATATTTTAAAAGATAATGTTTCAGGAATGCTAATCTTCTGTTTCTAACTACAGAAGTGATTTTCGAACAATCTGAGATGGTGGGGTGTCGAAATCCTATAAGTTGTGCTTTTTGAAGTGGAATGACTCAGCAACATCCATGATCTCCTCCTCACATACTGGAAGAGTCACTGTGTGCCTCCCAAATGGCACCCTATTCAGTATATAATGCGTTACTTTTGACCAGGGACCATAAGGCTGTAGTTAAAAAGTAGTGCACTAAATAGTGAATAAGGTGCCATTTAAAGATGTGTGCACTGACTAACCACACTGACTGTACAACACAGGGTTTTTTTTTATATAGATTTTTTTTTTACGACTCTGTGTGTCCCAAGATGATTGAATACTATAATAATAATAAAGAGAGGAGACTGGCTTCTTTCTCTGGAGTTGATGGCAAACTCAGGGTGCGCACCAAATGGCACCCTATTCCTTACATAGTGCACTACTTTTAACCAGAGCCCCAGACCCGTTTTTGTTTTTAGAGCCATCCTCCTCAACTCTGCTCTGAGAGACTGAGAAAGGGGAGGAGTGGAGACGGGAGACAAGGGAGGAGAGGGGAGACAGGGGAGGGGAGACGAGAGGAGAGGGGTGACGGGGGGAGACGGGAGGAGGGGAGACAAGACGGAAGGAGATGGAGAGGAGATGGGAGGAGAGGGAGATGAGATGGGAGGAGAGGGAGATGGAGAGGAGACGGGAGGAGAGGGAGATGGAGAGGAGACGGGAGGAGAAGGAGATGGAGAGGAGATGGGAGGAGAGGGAGATGAGATGGGAGGAGAGGGAGATGGAGAGGAGATGGGAGGAGAGGGAGATGGAGAGGACTGCAGCCTCAGTGCAGGAGAGCCCTGACCACAACACTCAGTCATGTGATTGTGAGGATGGCTGCCAGGCCAGCGATGGTATGTTATGGGTTAGTGCTGCTAAAGCGCCAGAATGACCCAGAGAGCTGGAGAGAGACAGTCAGAGAGGAAGAGCGGGAGAGAGAGAGAGAGCGACTGACAACCCATTGAGCTCTCTGTGGGTCAACATAGACAACTTAGCAAGTTACCTGGTTTAGTTGAGCTCTCAGTGGGTCAACATAGACAACTTAGCAAGTTACCTGGTTTAGTTGAGCTCTCAGTGGGTCAACATAGACAACTTAGCAAGTTACCTGGTTTAGTTGAGCTCTCAGTGGGTCAACATAGACAACTTAGCAAGTTACCTGGTTTAGTTGAGCTCTCAGTGGGTCAACATAGACAACTTAGCAAGTTACCTGGTTTAGTTGAGCTCTCAGTGGGTCAACATAGACAACTTAGCAAGTTACCTGGTTTAGTTGAGCTCTCAGTGGGTCAACATAGACAACTTAGCAAGTTACCTGGTTTAGTTGAGCTCTCTGTGGGTCAACATAGACAACTTAGCAAGTTACCTGGTTTAGTTGAGCTCTCAGGGGGTCAACATAGACAACTTAGCAAGTTACCTGGTTTAGTTGAGCTCTCAGTGGGTCAACATAGACAACTTAGCAAGTTACCTAGTTTAGTTGAGCTCTTGGTGGGTCAACATAGACAACTTAGCAAGTTACCTGGTTTAGTTGAGCTCTTGGTGGGTCAACATAGAAACAGCCCCCCTTCTCTAGTGGCTGCCGCTTTTACACGTCCATTAGAAGTGTCACCAGTCTAGTTCCTACGTACGTCCATGCCACAGCTCCTCGCTCTCTCTCTCTCTCTCCAGAAGAACTGGATTGGTTGGACACACACACACACATCTGAATCCTGGCCCTACCACACATACGTTTATTGATAGGCTGTATTATAATTAGCTACATGTCACCCACTCTCTGCTGTGGTGATGTCATCACTCTGAGTTCTTAGTTCTTCCACTCCCAACCAACCAGCTCACCAGCCACAGGCTGGCTTTCATAAAGAGGGCTGGGCTTTCATAAAGAGGGCTGGGCTTTCATAAAGAGGGCTGGGCTTTCATAAAGAGGGCTGGGCTTTCATAAAGAGGGCTGGCTTTCATAAAGAGGGCTGGGGATCATAAATAGGGCTGGGGTTCATAAATAGGGCTGGGGATCATAAATAGGGCTGGGGATCATAAATAGGGCTGGGGATCATAAATAGGGCTGGGGATCATAAATAGGGCTGGGGATCATAAATAGGGCTGGGGTTCATAAATAGGGCTGGGGATCATAAATAGGGCTGGGGTTCATAAATAGGGCTGGGGATCATAAATAGGGCTGGGGTTCATAAATAGGGCTGGGGATCATAAATAGGGCTGGGGTTCATAAATAGGGCTGGGGATCATAAATAGGGCTGGGGTTCATAAATAGGGCTGGGGTTCATAAATAGGGCTGGGGATCATAAATAGGGCTGGGGATCATAAATAGGGCTGGGGTTTCTCTGCTCTGCTCTGCTCCAGTCCTGCTGGTCCTCCCAGCCGCTGGAGACCGTGTGTGTGTGTGTGTGTGTGTGTGTGTGTGTGTGTGTGGGCGCCTGTCTGCCTTTGGGCCATGTGTGTGATTAACCCAGGTTCTCATAAAGATGGGTTCTCAGCGGGGTGCATGGTGTTACGGCAGGCCCGGTGCTCATGCCAGCTCCCGTTAGGTTATTAGGCTGTTGAGCAGAAGGCTGAGGAAAGGAGGGAGGGAAAGAGGCAGGAAGGGAGGGAGGGAGGACGGGAGAGAGGGAGGGAGGAAGGGAGAAAGAGAGGGTGGTAAGGAGTGAGAGCCCAGAAGTTTCCCATCATCATGTGGTTATGTTAGTGCATGGACCTGCTACTGCCACTAGAACACACAGACACTCTGTACTACTGTGTTCTATTCTATTGTTCTCTACTGTGTTCTATTCTGTTGTTCTCTACTGTGTTCTATTCTGTTGTTCTCTACTGTGTTCTATTCTGTTGTTCTCTACTGTGTTCTATTCTATTGTTCTCTACTGTGTTCTATTCTGTTGTTCTCTACTGTGTTCTATTCTGTTGTTCTCTACTGTGTTCTATTCTGTTGTTCTCTACTGTGTTCTATTCTATTGTTCTCTACTGTGTTCTATTCTGTTGTTCTCTACTGTGTTCTATTCTGTTGTTCTCTACTGTGTTCTATTCTGTTGTTCTCTACTGTGTTCTATTCTGTTGTTCTCTACTGTGTTCTATTCTATTGTTCTCTACTGTGTTCTATTCTATTGTTCTCTACTGTGTTCTATTCTGTTGTTCTCTACTGTGTTCTATTCTGTTGTTCTCTACTGTGTTCTATTCTGTTGTTCTCTACTGTGTTCTATTCTGTTGTTCTCTACTGTGTTCTATTCTATTGTTCTCTACTGTGTTCTATTCTATTGTTATCTACTGTGTTCTATTCTGTTGTTCTCTACTGTGTTCTATTCTATTCCATATTCTACTCTTCTTTTCTCACCTTTTCTCCTCTCCTCTTCACTATGCCTGCACCATAGTAACGAACACCATAGTAACGAACACCATAGTAACGAACACCATAGTAACGAACACCATAGTAACGAACACCATATTTTCTTACTAACTGATGTTTCCTCCTCTCTCTTCCCCAGACGTTCACGGCCTGGTGTAACTCCCACCTGAGGAAAGCCGGAACGCAGATCGAGAACATTGAGGAGGACTTCAGAGATGGACTGAAACTCATGCTGCTGTTGGAGGTCATATCAGGTGAGGAGGAAAGGCCTGATGCCTACATGTATCTCTAATGGTGCCTACATGTACAGTACCTTTCAAATTTTCTCTACTTTTGCATATTTTTGAAACTGAATGTTATCAGATCTTCAACCTAAACCTAATATTAGATAAAGGGAACCTGCGTGAACAAATAACACAACAATTACATACTTATTTCATTTATTTCATAAACAAAGTTATGCAACACCCAATGACCCTGTGTGAAAAAGTAATTGCCCCCTTGCACTCAATAACTGGTTATGTCACCTTTAGCTGCAATGACTCCAACCAAACGCTTCCTGTAGTTGTTGATCAGTCTCTCACATTGCTGAGGAGGAATTTTGGCCCACTCTTCCATCCAGAACTGCTGTAACTCAGCAACGTTTTGTGGGTTTTCAAGCATGAATTGCTCTGTATCAGAGAATTCTACAATAGAATGTCAGGCCATCCGTCTGTGAGCTGAAGCTGAAGCGCAGCTGGGTCATGCAGCAAGACAATGATCCAAAACACACAATCAAGTCTACATGAAAATTGTTAAAAAGCAACATATTTGAAGTCTTGGAATGACCTAGTCAAAGTCCAGACCTAATCCCAATTGAGATGTTATGGCAGGACTTGAAACAAGCAGTTCAAGATTGAAAACCCACACATTTCGCTAAATTAAAGCAGTTCAGCATGCAAGAGTGGGCCAAAATTCCTCCACAGCGATGCGAGAGACTGATCAACAACTACAGGAAGCGTTTAGTTGCAGTCATTGTAGCTAAAGGTGGCACAACCAGTTATTGAGTGTAATGGGGGAATTACTTTTTCACACAGGGGCATTGGGTGTTGCATAACTTTGTCAATAAAATAAATAAAATAAGTATATATATTTTTTATTATTTGTAAACGCAGGTTCCCTTTATCTAATATTAGGTTTTGGTTGAAGATCTAATAACATTCACTATCAAAAATATGCAAAAGTAGAGAAAATCAGAAAGAGGGTAAATACTTTTCCACGGCGCTGTATCTCTACATGGTGCCTACATGGTGCCTACATGGTGCCTACATGGTGGTAGGTGCCTACATGGAGCATGCATGGTGCCTACATGGTGCCTGCATGGTGCCTACATGGTGCCTACATGGTGCTTGCATGGTGCCTACATGGTGCCTACATTGTGCCTACATGGTGGTAGGTGCCTACATGGAGCTTGCATGGTGCCTACATGGAGCCTGCATGGTGCCTACATGGTGCCTGTATGGTGCCTACATGGTGCCTGCATGGTGCCTACATGGTGCCTACATGGTGCCTACATTTACATCATTTAGCAGATGCTCTTATCCAGAGTGACTTACAGTGCATACAAAATATATATATATATTATAATTGTTTTATACTAGCCCCCCGTGGGAATCGAACCCACAACCCTGGCGTTGCAAGTGCCATGCTCTACCAACTGAGCTACACGGGGCCATACATCTACACAGGGCCATACATGGTGCCTACATGGTACCTACAGTGAGGGAAAAAAGTATTTGATCCCCTGCTGATTTTGTACGTTTGCCCACTGACAAAGACATGATCAGTCTATAATTTTAATGGTAGGTGTATTTGAACAGTGAGAGACAGAATAACAACAAAAAAATCCAGAAAAACGCATGTCAAAGATGTTATAAATTGATTTGCATTTTAATAAGGGAAATAAGTATTTGACCCCTCTGCAAAACATGACTTAGTACTTGGTGGCAAAACCCTTGTTGGCAATCACAGAGGTCAGACGTTTCTTGTAGTTGGCCACCAGGTTTGCACACATCTCATGAGGGATTTTGTCCCACTCCTCATTGCAGATCTTCCCCAAGTCATTAAGGTTTCGAGGCTGACGTTTGGCAACTCGAACCTTCAGCTCCCTCCACAGATTTTCTATGGGATTAAGGTCTGGAGACTGGCTAGGCCACTCCAGGACCTTAATGTGCTTCTTCTTGAGCCACTCCTTTGTTGCCTTGGCCGTGTGTTTTGGGTCATTGTCATGCTGGAATACCCATCCACGACCCATTTTCAATGCCCTGGCTGAGGGAAGGAGGTTCTCACCCAAGATATGATGGTACATGGCCCCGTCCATCGTCCCTTTGATGCGGTGAAGTTGTCCTGTCCCCTTAGCAGAAAAACACCCCCAAAGCATAATGTTTCCACCTCCATGTTTGACAGTGGGGATGGTGTTCTTGGGGTCATAGGCAGCATTCCTCCTCCTCCAAACACGGCGAGTTGAGTTGATGCCAAAGAGCTCGATTTTGGTCTCATCTGACCACAACACTTTCACCCAGTTCTCCTCTGAATCATTCAGATGTTCATTGGCAAACTTCAGACGGGCCTGTATATGTGCTTTCTTGAGCAGGGGGACCTTGCGGGCGCTGCAGGATTTCAGTCCTTCACGGCGTAGTGTGTTACCAATTGTTTTCTTGGTGACTATGGTCCCAGCTGCCTTGAGATCATTGACAAGATCCTCCCGTGTAGTTCTGGGCTGATTCCTCACCATTCTCATGATCATTGCAACTCCACGAGGTGAGATCTTGCATGGAGCCCCAGGCCAAGGGAGATTGACAGTTATTTTGTGTTTCTTCCATTTGCGAATAATCGCACCAACTGTTGTCACCTTCTCACCAAGCTGCTTGGCGATGGTCTTGTAGCCCATTCCAGCCTTGTGTAGGTCTACAATCTTGTCCCTGACATCCTTGAAGAGCTCTTTGGTCTTGGCCATGGTGGATAGTTTGGAATCTGATTGATTGATTGCTTCTGTGGACAGGTGTCTTTTATACAGGTAACAAACTCAGATTAAGAGCACTCCCTTTAAGAGTGTGCTCCTAATCTCAGCTCGTTACCTGTATAAAAGACACCTGGGAGCCAGAAATCTTTCTGATTGAGAGGGGGTCAAATACTTATTTCCCTCATTAAAATGCAAATCAATTTATAACATTTTTGACATGTGTTTTTCTGTCTCTCACTGTTCAAATAAACCTACCATTAAAATTATAGACTGATCATTTCTTTGTCAGTGGGCAAACATACAAAATCAGCAGAGGATCAAATACTTTTTTCCCTCACTGTACATGGTGGCTACATGGTGCCTACATTTTACATTTACATTTTAGTCATTTAGCAGATGCTCTTATCCAGAGCGACTTACAGTTAGTGAGTGCATCCATTTTCATACTGCCCCCCCCCCGTGGGAAACGAACCCACAACCCTGGCATTGCAAGCGCCATGCTCTACCAACTGAGCTACATGGTACCATGCCTACATAATAATAATAATAATAATAATATGCCATTTAGCAGACGCTTTTATCCAAAGCGACTTACAGTCATGCGTGCATACATTTTTTTGTGTATGGGTGGTCCCGGGGATCGAACCCACTACCTTGGCGTTACAAGCGCCGTGCTCTACCAGCTGAGCTACAGAGGACCACATGGTGCCTACATGGTGGTAGGTGCCTACATGGTGCCTACATAGTGGCTACATGGTGCCTACATGGTGGTAGGTGCCTACATGGAGCCTACATGGTGCCTACATGGTGCCTGCATGATGCCTACATTGTGCCTACATGGTGCCTACATGGTACCTACATGATACCTACATGGTGCCTACATGGTACCTACATGGTGGTAGGTGCTTACATGGTGCCTACATGGTGCCTGCATGGTGCCTACATGGTGGTAGGTGCTTACATGGAGCCTACATGGTGCCTATATTTACATTTACATTTTAGTCATTTAGCAGACGCTCTTATCCAGAGCGACTTACAGTGCACACATTATTTTTATTTTTTTCATACTGGCCCCCCGTGGGAATCGAACCCACAACCCTGGCGTTGCAAACGCCATGCTCTACCAACTGAGCTACATCCCTGCCGGCCATTCCCTCCCCTACCCTGGACGACGCTGGGCCAATTGTGCGCCGCCCCATGGGTCTATATGGTGCCTATATGGTGGTAGGTGCCTACATGGTGCCTGCATGGTGCCTACATGGTGTTAGGTGCCTACATGGAGCCTGCATGGTGCCTACATGGTGGTAGGTGCCTACATGGTGCCTGCATGGTGCCTACATGGTGGTAGGTGCCTACATTTTACATTTTTAGTCATTTAGCAGACGCTCTTATCCAGAGCATCTTACAGGAGCAATTAGGGTTAAGTGCCTTGGTCAAGGGCACATCGACAGATTTTTCACCTAGTCGGCTCGGGGATTAGAACCAGCGACCTTTCTGTTACTGGCACTATGCTCTTAACCACTAAGCTACCTGCCGCCCTACATGGTGCCTACATGGTGGTAGGTGCCTACATGGTGCCTACATCGTGCCTGCATGGTGCCTACATGGTGCCTATATGGTGGTAGGTGCCTACATGGTGCCTACATGGTGGTAGGTGCCTACATGGTGCCTACATAGTGGTAGGTGCCTACATGGTGCCTACATGACCGGGAGACCCATGGGGCGGCGCACAATTGGCCCAGTGTCGTCCAGGGTAGGGGAGGGAATGGCCGGCAGGGATGTAGCTCAGTTGGTAGAGCATGGCGTTTGCAACGCCAGGGTTGTGGGTTCGATTCCAGTATGAAAAAATTAATAAAAATGTATGACCTCATGTTACGAACCCCGTGGCTTTAAACGTCTAGGGTGGATGGAAATGAGACCCGTAACATAATTCATGCAAATTAGAATCGTGACATGGAAACAGTGAGAACAAAAAATACACCGACAACCATAAGCTACCGTCAAACATAAAATGTTTATTTTGAACACACGGTAAAGGTTTGGGAAAAAGGGCTGAGCAGGACCCAAGAAATGAAACAATAGTGTAAAACACCCCTAAACTGATCTTGCCTGCCTCAAGAACCGCTAAGCTACTGCTAATCATACAAAAGTACAGTGGGTGGTCCGCTCAGGTCTAACTAGTGTTTTTAGACAGTTTTCTTCCTACGGGTAATGTATGCCCAAGGGCAACTTGCTTAAATCCCCCTTTTCCCAGAAACGCACAACAAAGTTACCAAACAGAGTAACCAGCAAATGAGTGAGTACACAAAACACAGGACACCACAGTATCCATACTCACATACGGAAATAGTCTCTCTCAACAAACACAACTGACTGGCTTTTAAACAATGGGAGGTGTAAGTGGGAAACCAGAAACAGGTGGTGCAATACAGAGGAATGTCCACTGATTGGTCCACCTCAGCAATCAGCAGACAAACGGATGTCGGACAGGTGGGACACCCCAACGACCACCAATCAGGAACACAAAGGACACCTGTGATTTAGGGCAGAAGGAGAGGAAAAACACAAAAACACATACAGGATACCTGTATCCGTAACAACTCACTAACTGTAAGTCGCTCTGGATAAGAGCGTCTGCTAAATGACTAATATGTAAAATGTACATGGTGCCTACATGGTGGTAGGTGCCTACATGGTGCCTACATGGTGGTAGGTGCCTACATGGTGCCTACATGGTGTCTACATGGTGCCTACATGGTGTCTACATGGTGCCTACATGGTGTCTACATGGTGCCTACATGGTGTCTACATGGTGCCTACATGGTGCCTACATGTTTACACTAGGCAAGATATAGCTTAGTGGTGTTTACACTAGGCAGGTAGCTTAGTGGTTAAGAGCGTTGTGCCAGTAACCGAAAGGTCGCTGGTTCTAATCCCAGAGCCGACTAGGTGAAAAATCTGCCGATGTGCCCTTGAGCAAGGCACTTAACCCTAATTGCTCCTGTAAATGACAAAAAATTTCAAATGTAAATGTAAAATAATAGGGACGTATATCTATCTGTTAGGGATGGGGGGGAAATCCATACAGTAGAGTTTTGCGCTATATTTTTAAAAATATTTTATAATGATTTGATTGTGTTCTCTCCTAAACAGGTGTTCTACTCTGCTAGCCAGCACCTCTCCTAAACAGGTGTTCTACTCTGCTAGCCAGCACCTCTCCTAAACAGGTGTTCTACTCTGCTAGCCAGCACCTCTCCTAAACAGGTGTTCTACTCTGCTAGCCAGCACCTCTCCTAAACAGGTGTTCTACTCCTATAGCCAGCACCTCTCCTAAACAGGTGTTCTACTCTGCTAGCCAGCACCTCTCCTAAACAGGTGTTCTACTCCGTTAGCCAGCACCTCTCCTAAACAGGTGTTCTACTCTGCTAGCCAGCACCTCTCCTAAACAGGTGTTCTACTCTGCTAGCCAGCACCTCTCCTAAACAGGTGTTCTACTCCGTTAGCCAGCACCTCTCCTAAAACAGGTGTTCTACTCTGCTAGCCAGCACCTCTCCTAAACAGGTGTTCTACTCCTATAGCCAGCACCTCTCCTAAACAGGTGTTCTACTCCTATAGCCAGCACCTCTCCTAAACAGGTGTTCTACTCCGCTAGCCAGCACCTCTCCTAAACAGGTGTTCTACTCTGCTAGCCAGCACCTCTCCTAAACAGGTGTTCTACTCTGCTAGCCAGCACCTCTCCTAAACAGGTGTTCTACTCTGCTAGCCAGCACCTCTCCTAAACAGGTGTTCTACTCCGCTAGCCAGCACCTCTCCTAAACAGGTGTTCTACTCCGTTAGCCAGCACCTCTCCTAAACAGGTGTTCTACTCCGCTAGCCAGCACCTCTCCTAAACAGGTGTTCTACTCTGCTAGCCAGCACCTCTCCTAAACAGGTGTTCTACTCCGTTAGCCAGCACCTCTCCTAAACAGGTGTTCTACTCTGCTAGCCAGCACCTCTCCTAAACAGGTGTTCTACTCCTATAGCCAGCACCTCTCCTAAACAGGTGTTCTACTCTGCTAGCCAGCACCTCTCCTAAACAGGTGTTCTACTCCGTTAGCCAGCACCTCTCCTAAACAGGTGTTCTACTCTGCTAGCCAGCACCTCTCCTAAACAGGTGTTCTACTCCTATAGCCAGCACCTCTCCTAAACAGGTGTTCTACTCTGCTAGCCAGCACCTCTCCTAAACAGGTGTTCTACTCTGCTAGCCAGCACCTCTCCTAAACAGGTGTTCTACTCTGCTAGCCAGCACCTCTCCTAAACAGGTGTTCTACTCCTATAGCCAGCACCTCTCCTAAACAGGTGTTCTACTCCGTTAGCCAGCACCTCTCCTAAACAGGTGTTCTACTCCGTTAGCCAGCACCTCTCCTAAACAGTTGTGCGTTTCTTTCTCCTCCATATTAGCTAGTCGGCTGTACCTGGTATTTATCATCCTATAGCTAGTTCATCATTTTCTTTTTAAATGTTTTAAATGGTGAGCCAACATGTTTTGAGCACTTTTACCTCCAAAACTCATTTTCTCGTGGCTCTCTCTTCTCCCTCTGCAGCATGTAGAGAGCACTATGTTTGGACATATAGAATCGCAATACATATCGTATCGGGCGCCTAAGTATGGTGATAATATCGTATTGTGAGGTCCTTGGCTATTCCCAGCCCTAGTATCTGTAGTTTTCTGTTCGATAGTGACCTCTAACCTATGACCTCTGATTGTGTTTCCTGTCTAGGAGAGCGCTTGGCCAAACCAGAGAGAGGGAAGATGAGAGTCCACAAGATCTCCAACGTCAACAAAGCTCTCCACTACATAACCAGTAAAGGAGTCAAGCTGGTGTCCATCGGAGCTGAAGGTGGGTTCAACAATACCCTGGTCACTATTGACACTGACTGGACTGTAGTACACTTGACTGTAGTACACTAGACTGTAGTACACTAGACTGTAGTACACTAGACTGTAGTACACTAGACTGTAGTACACTAGACTGTAGTACACTAGACTGTAGTACACTAGACTGTAGTACACTAGACTGTAGTACACTAGACTGTAGTAAACTAGACTGTAGTATACTAGACTGTAGTACACTAGACTGTAGTAAACTAGACTGTAGTACACTAGACTGTAGTACACTAGACTGTAGTACACTAGACTGTAGTACACTAGACTGTAGTAAACTAGACTGTAGTACACTAGACTGTAGTACACTAGGGACTGTAGTACACTAGACTGTAGTACACTAGACTGTAGTACACTAGACTGTAGTAAACTAGACTGTAGTAAAACTAGACTGTAGTATACTAGACTGTAGTACACTAGACTGTAGTAAACTAGACTGTAGACACTAGACTGTAGTACACTAGACTGTAGTACACTAGACTGTAGTAGCCCTAGGCTGTAGTACACTAGACTGTAAGTACACTAGGACTGTAGTACACTAGACTGTAGGACACTAGACTGTAGTAAAAACTAGACTGTAGGACACTAGACTGTAGTAAACTAGACTGTAGTACACTAGACTGTAGTACACTAGACTGTAGTACACTAGACTGTAGTACACTAGACTGTAGTACACTAGACTGTAGTAAACTAGACTGTAGTACACTAGACTGTAGTACACTAGACTTGTAGTACACTAGACTGTAGTAACACTAACTGTAGTAAACTGTAGTACAACTAGACTTGTAGGTACACTAGGACTGTAGTACACTAGACTGTAGTACACTAGGACTGTAGTACACTAGGGGACTGTAGTAACACTAGACTGGTAGTTAAACTAGACTGTAGACACTAGACTGTAGTACACTAGACTGTAGTATACACTAGACTGTAGTTACACTAGACTGTAGTAACTACTGTATTACACACGTAGTAAACTAGACGGTAGTACACTAGACTGGTATTATACTAGACTGTAGTACACTAGACTGTAGTACACTAGACTGTAGTAAAACAGACTGTAGTAAACTAGACGGTAGTAAACTAGACTGTAGTAAACTAGGACTGTAGGACACTAGACTGTAGTCAAACTAGACTGTATTAAACTAGACTGTAGTAAACTAGACTGGTAGTCAACTAGACTGGTATACTAGACTGTAGTACACTAGACTGTAGTAAACTAGACTGTAGGACACTGTAGTAAACTAGACTGTAGTACACTAGACTGTAGTACACTAGACTGTAGGACACTAGACTGTAGTACACTAGACTGTAGGACACTAGACTGTAGTAAACTAGACTGTAGTAAACTAGACTGTAGGACACTAGACTGTAGTAAACTAGACTGTAGTAAACTAGACTGTAGTAAACTAGACTGTAGTAAACTAGACTGTAGTAAACTAGACTGTAGTATACTAGACTGTAGTACACTAGACTGTAGTACACTAGACTGTAGGACACTAGACTGTAGTAAACTAGACTGTAGGACACTAGACTGTAGGACACTAGACTGTAGTACACTAGGCTGTAGTACACTAGGCTGTAGTACACTAGGCTGTAGTACACTAGGCTGTAGTACACTAGGCTGTAGTACACTAGGCTGTAGTACACTAGGCTGTAGTACACTAGGCTGTAGTACACTAGACTGTAGTACACTAGACTGTAGTAAACTAGACTGTAGTAAACTAGACTGTAGTAAACTAGACTGTAGTAAACTAGACTGTAGTATACTAGACTGTAGTACACTAGACTGTAGTAAACTAGACTGTAGGACACTAGACTGTAGTAAACTAGACTGTAGTAAACTAGACTGTAGTACACTAGACTGTAGTACACTAGACTGTAGGACACTAGACTGTAGTACACTAGACTGTAGGACACTAGACTGTAGTAAACTAGACTGTAGTAAACTAGACTGTAGTACACTAGACTGTAGTAAACTAGACTGTAGTAAACTAGACTGTAGGACACTAGACTGTAGTAAACTAGACTGTAGTAAACTAGACTGTAGTAAACTAGACTGTAGTAAACTAGACTGTAGTAAACTAGACTGTAGTATACTAGACTGTAGTACACTAGACTGTAGTACACTAGACTGTAGGACACTAGACTGTAGTACACTAGACTGTAGTACACTAGACTGTAGTACCAGACTAGGACACTAGATTAGTACACTAGACTGTGTACACTAGACTGTAAGGACACTAGACTGTAGTACACTAGACTGTAGGACACTAGACTGTAGTAAACTAGACGTAGTAACTAGACTGTAGGGACACTAGACTGTAGTAAAACTAGACTGTAGTAAACTAGACTGTAGTAAACTAGACTGTAGTAAACTAGACTGTAGTAAACTAGACTGTAGTATACTAGACTGTAGTACACTAGACTGTAGTAAACTAGACTGTAGGACACTAGACTGTAGTAAACTAGACTGTAGTAAACTAGACTGTAGTACACTAGACTGTAGTACACTAGACTGTAGGACACTAGACTGTAGTACACTAGACTGTAGTACACTAGACTGTAGGACACTAGACTGTAGTAAACTAGACTGTAGTACACTAGACTGTAGTAAACTAGACTGTAGTAAACTAGACTGTAGTACACTAGACTGTAGTACACTAGACTGTAGTACACTAGACTGTAGTAAACTAGACTGTAGTACACTAGACTGTAGTACACTAGACTGTAGTACACTAGACTGTAGTACACTAGACTGTAGTACACTAGACTGTAGTACACTAGACTGTAGTACACTAGACTGTAGTAAACTAGACTGTAGTAAACTAGACTGTAGTATACTAGACTGTAGTACACTAGACTGTAGTACACTAGACTGTAGTACACTAGACTGTAGTACACTAGACTGTAGTACACTAGACTGTAGTAAACTAGACTGTAGTAAACTAGACTGTAGTATACTAGACTGTAGTACACTAGACTGTAGTACACTAGACTGTAGTACACTAGACTTTAGTACACTAGACTGTAGTAAACTAGACTGTAGTAAACTAGACTGTAGTATACTAGACTGTAGTACACTAGACTGTAGTACACTAGACTGTAGTACACTAGACTGTAGTACACTAGACTGTAGTACACTAGACTGTAGTAAACTAGACTGTAGTACACTAGACTGTAGTACACTAGACTGTAGTACACTAGACTGTAGTACACTAGACTGTAGTACACTAGACTGTAGTACACTAGACTGTAGTAAACTAGACTGTAGTATACTAGACTGTAGTACACTAGACTGTAGTACACTAGACTGTAGTACACTAGACTGTAGTACACTAGACTGTAGTAAACTAGACTGTAGTACACTAGACTGTAGTACACTAGACTGTAGTACACTAGACTGTAGTAAACTAGACTGTAGTACACTAGACTGTAGGACACTAGACTGTAGTACACTAGACTGTAGTACACTAGACTGTAGTAAACTAGACTGTAGTACACTAGACTGTAGTACACTAGACTGTAGTAAACTAGACTGTAGTACACTAGACTGTAGTAAACTAGACTGTAGTACACTAGACTGTAGTACACTAGACTGTAGTACACTAGACTGTAGTACACTAGACTGTAGTACACTAGACTGTAGTAAACTAGACTGTAGTAAACTAGACTGTAGTACACTAGGCTGTAGTACACTAGACTGTAGTACACTAGACTGTAGTACAACTAGACTGTAGTAAACTAGACTGTAGTAACACTAGACTGTAGTAAACTAGACTGTAGTACACTAGACTGTAGTACACTAGACTGTAGTACACTAGACTGTAGTACACTAGACTGTAGTAAACTAGACTGTAGTAAACTAGACTGTAGGACACTAGACTGTAGTACACTAGACTGTAGTACACTAGACTGTAGTAAACTAGACTGTAGTACACTAGACTGTAGGACACTAGACTGTAGTACACTAGACTGTAGTACACTAGGCTGTAGTACACTAGACTGTAGTACACTAGACTGTAGTACACTAGACTGTAGTAAACTAGACTGTAGTACACTAGACTGTAGTAAACTAGACTGTAGTACACTAGACTGTAGGACACTAGACTGTAGTACACTAGACTGTAGTACACTAGACTGTAGTAAACTAGACTGTAGTACACTAGGCTGTAGTACACTAGACTGTAGTACACTAGACTGTAGTACACTAGACTGTAGTAAACTAGACTGTAGGACACTAGACTGTAGTACACTAGACTGTAGTACACTAGACTGTAGTAAACTAGACTGTAGTACACTAGACTGTAGGACACTAGACTGTAGTACACTAGACTGTAGTACACTAGGCTGTAGTACACTAGACTGTAGTACACTAGACTGTAGTACACTAGACTGTAGTAAACTAGACTGTAGTACACTAGACTGTAGTAAACTAGACTGTAGTACACTAGACTGTAGGACACTAGACTGTAGTACACTAGACTGTAGTACACTAGACTGTAGTAAACTAGACTGTAGTACACTAGGCTGTAGTACACTAGACTGTAGTACACTAGACTGTAGTACACTAGACTGTAGTAAACTAGACTGTAGTACACTAGACTTTAGTAAACTAGACTGTAGTACACTAGACTGTAGGACACTAGACTGTAGTACACTAGACTGTAGTACACTAGACTGTAGTAAACTAGACTGTAGTACACTAGGCTGTAGTACACTAGACTGTAGTACACTAGACTGTAGTACACTAGACTGTAGTAAACTAGACTGTAGTACACTAGACTGTAGTACACTAGACTGTAGTAAACTAGACTGTAGTAAACTAGACTGTAGTAAACTAGACTGTAGTAAACTAGACTGTAGTACACTAGACTGTAGTAAACTAGACTGTAGTAAACTAGACTGTAGTACACTAGACTGTAGTAAACTAGACTGTAGTACACTAGACTGTAGTACACTAGACTGTAGTACACTAGACTGTAGTACACTAGACTGTAGTACACTAGACTGTAGTAAACTAGACTGTAGTACACTAGGCTGTAGTACACTAGACTGTAGTACACTAGACTGTAGTACACTAGACTGTAGTAAACTAGACTGTAGTAAACTAGACTGTAGTACACTAGACTGTAGTACACTAGACTGTAGTAAACTAGACTGTGTACACTAGACTGTAGTACACTAGACTGTAGTACACTAGACTGTAGTACACTAGACTGTAGTACACTAGACTGTAGTAAACTAGACTGGTAACTAACTAACTAGACTGTAGACACTAGACTGTAGTACACTAGACTGTAGTACACTAGACTGTAGTACACTAGACTGTAGTACACTAGACTGTAGGACACTAGACTGTAGTACACTAGACTGTAGTACACTAGATAGGCTGTAGTACACTAGACTGTAGTACACTGATGACTGTAGTACACTAGACTGTAGTAAACTAGACTGTAGTACACTAGACTGTAGTTACACTAGACTGTAGTACACTAGACTGTAGTACACAGACTGTAGTAAACTAGACTGTAGTACACTAGACATGTAGTACTACTAAAGACTGTAGTACACTAGACTGTAGTACACTAGACTGTAGACACTAGACTGTAGTAAAACTAGACTGTAGTACACTAGACTGTAGTACACTAGACTGTAGTAAACTAGACTGTAGTACACTGACTGTAGTAACTAGACTGTAGGACACTAGACTGTAGTAAACTAGACTGTAGGACACTGACTGTAGTAAACTAGACTGTAGTAAACTAGACTGTAGTAACTAGACTGTAGTAAACTAGACTGTAGTACACTAGACTGTAGTAAACTAGACTGTAGTACACTAGACTGTAGTAAACTAGACGTAGTAAACTAGACGGTAGTAAACTAGACTGTAGTAAACTAGACGTAGTACACTAGACTGTAGTAAACTAGACTGTAGTACACTAGACTGTAGTACACACTAGACTGTAGTAAACTAGACTGTAGTACACTAGAACTGTAGTACACTAGACTGTAGTAAACTAGACTGTAGTACACTAGACTGTAGTACACTAGACTGTAGTAAACTAGACTGTAGGACACTAGACTGTAGTACACTAGACTGTAGTACACTAGACTGTAGTACACTAGACTGTAGGACACTAGACTGTAGTAAACTAGACTGTAGTACACTAGACTGTAGTACACTAGACTGTAGTAAACTAGACTGTAGTAACTAGACTGTAGTAAACTAGACTGAAGTACACTAGACTGTAGTACACTACAAAACCAGTTAAGGAGTCAAGCTGGTGTCCATCGGAGCTGATATTGGGTTCGACAATACCCTGGTCACTATTGACACTGACTAGACTGTACTACTAGCCTCATTAAACCAGCCTTATCTCGCAAGCTCACACTCTGTTTCACTGAAATGAAACATGAGCACAGCGGTCACTGTCCAAAAGGTGTGCGTCACAAAGGGCAGTCTATTCCCTTTGAGTCCTGGTCAGAAGTAGTGCCACTTGGGACACGTCCAAGGTAGTGCTTTGCGGTGCATTTCCCCATAGCTAGGGGCTGCTCTGCTCAGGTTGTCAACATCGTTTGTGTCCCAAATGGCACCCTATTCCCTACATAGTGCAGGTCTTTTTTTTTTTGTTCACTCCTCACATACTTTGGGCTTCGTTGGATAGGACAGAAGTAGAAAGGAAAGATACGCTGAGTGTACAAAACATTAGGAACACCTTCCTAGTATTGAGTTGCACCCACCTTTTAACCCTCAGAACAGCTTCAATTCGTCAGGGCATGGACTCTACATCACAGGAGGTTGGTTGCACCTTAATTGGGGAGGACGGGCTCGTGGTAATGTCTGGAGTGGAGTGAGGGGAATGGTATGAAATACATCAAACATAGTTTGATTCCATTCCATTTGCGCCGTTCCAGCCATTATTATGAGCCGTCCTCCCCTCAGCAGCCTCCACTGCTCTACAAGGTGTCAAGCGTTCCACAGAGATGCTGGGCCCATGTTGACTCCAATGCTTCCCACAGCGTTCCACAGAGATGCTGGGCCCATGTTGACTGCAATGCTTCCCACAGTTGTGTCAAGTTGGCTGGATGTCCTTTGGGTGGTGGACCATTCTTGATACACATGGGAAACTGTTGAGTGTGGAAAAACCCAGCAGCGTTGCAGTTCTTGATACAAACCGGTGCACCTGGCACCTACTACCATACCCTGTTCAAAGGCACTTAAATCTTTTGTCTTGCCCATTCACCCTCTGAATGGCACACATACCCAATCTCTATTGCGCTCCACACTGCCCTTTCACACCTGGACAAAAGGAACACCTATGTGAGAATGCTATTCATTGACTACAGCTCAGCATTCAACACCATAGTGCCCTCAAAGCTCAACACTAAGCTAAGGACCCTGGGACTAAACACCTCCCTCTGCAACTGGATCCTGGACTTCCTGACGGGCCATCCCCAGGTGGTAAGGGTAGGCAACAACACGTCTGCCACACTGATCCTCAACACGGGGGCCCCTCAGAGGTGCGTGCTCAGTCCCCTCCTGTACTCCCTGTTCACCCATGACTGCATGGCCAGGCACGACTCCAACACCATCATTAAGTTTGCCGATGACACAACAGTGGTAGGCCTGATCACAGACAACGATGAGACAGCCTATAGGGAGGAGGTCAGAGATCTGGCCGTGTGGTGCCAGGACAACAAACTCTCCCTCAATGTGACCAAGACAAAGGAGATGATTGTGGACTACAGGAAAAAGAAGAGGACTGAGCATGCCCCCATTCTCATCGACGGGGCTTTAGTGGAACAGGTTGAGAGCTTCAAGTTCCTTGGTGTCCACATCACCAACAAACTAACATGGTCCAAACACACCAAGACAGTCGTGAAGAGGGCACAACAAAGCCTATTCCCCCTCAGGAGACTGAAAAGATTTGGCATGGGTCCCCAGATCCACCCATCGATAGCATCCTGACTGGTTGCATCACTGCCTGGTATGGCAACTGCTCAGCCTCCGACCGCAAGGCACAACAGAGGGTAGTGCGTACGGCCCAGTACATCACTGGGGCCAAGCTTCCTGCCATCCAGGACCTCTATACCAGGCGGTGTCAGAGGAAGGCCCTAAAAATTGTCAGACTCCAGCCACCCTAGTCAGCGCCTAGTCTAGGTCCAAGAGGCTTCTAAACAGCTTCTACCCCCAAGCCATAAGACTCCTGAACATCTAATCATGGCTACCCAGACTATTTGCATCCCCCCCCCCCCCTCTTTTACGCTGCTGCTACTCTCTGTTTATTATCTATGCATAGTCACTTTAATAACTCCTTCAATACTTTTGGAAAAGCATTCCAGGTGAAGCTGGTTGAGAGAATGCCAAGAGTGTGCAAAGCTGTCATCAAGGCAAAGGGTGATTATTTAAAGAATCTCAAATATAAAATATATTTTGATTTGTTTAACACTTTTTTGGTTAATACATGATTCCATATGTGTTATTTCATAGTTTTGATGTCTTCACTATTATTCTACAATGTAGAAAATAGTAAAAAATTAAGAAAAACCCTTGAATGAGTAGGTGTGGACAAACTGTTGACTGGTAGTGTAACAGCTCCCAGTGTGACTCATAGTGTTCTCATGGCTAGGTGTTAGGCAGCATGCAGGTTGCGCATGTATCCGAGTTACCACAGTTACCACAGTTACCACAGTTCCCCTGTGGGCTGCTGTGGTTGGTCGATGAGGTGACGCATGAATGCGCATTATCAAGTCACTTGGGCCACTGTGGTCGATGTTAGGCAGCGTTTTGTCCAGGTTACCGCAGTTCCCCTGTGGGTTTTGAGCCTCGGGCTGACGTAACAGCGCCAAGTGTACAGTTTCCAGGTTACTGCAGGTTTTTCTGTGGGTTCGAGCCTCGGGCTGACGTAACGGCGCCAAGTGTACAGTTTCCAGGTTACTGCAGGTTTTTCTGTGGGTTCGAGCCTCGGGCTGACGTAACGGCGCCAAGTGTACAGTTTCCAGGTTACTGCAGGTTTTTCTGTGGGTTCGAGCCTCGGGCTGACGTAACGGCGCCAAGTGTACAGTTTCCAGGTTACTGCAGGTTTTTCTGTGGGTTCGAGCCTCGGGCGTCACGTGATTCATTGACTCTGTGTGCGCTTTACCAAGTCACGACAGATGTTTTGTTGTTTTGGACTTGCAGTTCCTTGTACGAGTTCTGACATTTCAGGCTCGCATTGGCAGCGTGTCAGTGTGCATATCCAAGTTGCAGCAGGTTCTGGTTCCCTATATGGGGCGCTGACAGTTCAGGCTCGCATTGGCAGCGTGTCAGTGTGCATATCCAAGTTGCAGCAGGTTCTGGTTCCCTATATGGGGCTCTGACATTAGTCAAGTAGTGCACGACATAGGGAAAAAGGGTGGCTTCTGTAACCCCTTCTAGCCTGTGGAACCTGTGTCGGCCTCCTAGTTTGGTACCCTCTGAACTGGCTTGGGGCTTGATTTTGTGTCCACGTAGTACGATATACCGAGTGACCAATCGAAAGGCAACGTACAGTTATGAATATAAACTACTGTTCCCTGAAGGAGGGAACGAGGTATAACATGTTCTGGCCCCCCACGCCGTCAGGGGGTTTGGACTCGCTGAAGAGCGGTACTGAATTGAGGAAATTAATGCGAGCCCCGGCGTTACAGCCAGGAAGGCGGGGCTTCCGAGGGCGGGCTCTGCATTAATTGGTCCTTTGGGCGTGTTTTTAGTTTTCTTCAGGTGAATATGATTGGTCATTGACTCCTCATAGTATGTTATACCTCATTCCCTCCTTAAGGGAACATTAGTTATATTCATAACTGTACGTTTCTCTCTCTCTCTCTCTCTCAATTCAATTTCAATTCAATTCAACTTCAATTTAAGGGCTTTATTGGCATGGGGAACGTATGTTAACATTGCCAAAGCAAGTGAAGTAGATAATAATCAAAAGTGAAATAAACAATAAATATTAACAGTAAACATTACACTCAGAAGTTCCAAAAGAATAAAGACATTTCAAATGTCATATTATGTATATATACAGTGTTGTAACAATGTATATATTGTCTCTCTCTCTCTCGCTCTCTCTCTCTCTCTGTATTTCTTTCTCTTTCCTCTTTCCGACTCTCTCTCTTCCTCTCCTCCTTCTTCCTGTCTCCCAGTAAGCCTTATAAGGAGCTCTCTATGTGCTGTTGTAGATTGTTACTTTTCCTTGCTCACATTCTTCACCTTTCAATTCTCTCTGTGACAGTGCCTCTTCAGGTCTAAGGAAAAAGGAGAAGAGGAGCCTGCTCTACTCTCGTTCTCTCTCTCGCTCCATCTCTATCTCTCTCTCTTCTCTCTCTCTCTCTCTCTCTCTCTCTGCTTCGTCTCTCTTCTCGTCTCTCTCCTCTCTGTCTTCTCTCTCTCGTCTCTCCTCCTCTGTCTTCTCTCTCTCTGTCTCTCTCTCTCTCTGCTCTCTCTCTTCTGCTTCTCTCTCTATCCCTCTCTCCTCCCTCGTTCTCTTCGTCTCTCTCTCTGTCATCTCATGCGTCTCGCTCCTCCGCTCCTCGTCTCGATCCCTGTCTTTCGTGCTACTGCTGCTCTGCTACATCAGTTAACCCACGCACTCTACTTCCCTCCCACCTATCTCTGTCCCCACCCCCTCTATCCCCTTTTCCTTCCTTTCCCCTCCCTTGCTTCTTCCCCCCCCCCCTCGTCCCCTTTCCCCCCCCCCCCTCTCCTTCTCTTCTCTCCTTCCCCCCCTCTCCTTCCCCTCCCTTCTCTCCCTTCCCCCCCTTCTCTTCCTCTCATGGGGTTAATCCACACTGAGGCCAGAATAAAAAGGGCCTAAGCCAGATTTGCATTCCAGACAGATTAGCCGATTGGAATCCCCTCTTGGATTCGCTTTCCCAGGGATTTGTAGGGGGGGGGGTACAACTGGGGGATAGATAAAGGCTAGCAGCATAACAGTACGGTCTCACTTTGGATAGCAGGCTAAAGGGGTAGCAGACAGTAACAGCCTAACAGGTAGCTCAGCTAGGATAGCAGGCTAAATGGCTAGCAGACAGTAACAGCCTAACAGGTAGCTCAGCTAGGATAGCAGGCTAACAGCCTAACAGGTAGCTCAGCTAGGATAGAGCTAATGGCTAGCAGACAGTAACAGCCTAACAGGTAGCTCAGCTAGGATAGCAGGCTAAATGGCTAGCAGACAGTAACAGCCTAACAGGTAGCTCAGCTAGGATAGCAGGCTAAATGGCTAGCAGACAGTAACAGCCTAACAGGTAGCTCATGGAGTGAGGGCGGCAGAGGGCCATATGACAGGACAGGGGGGTGGGGCCATATGAGAGGACAGGGGGGTGGGGCCATATGACAGGACAGGGGGGTGGGGCCATATGACAGGTCAGGGGGGGTGGGGCCATATGACAGGACAGGGGGGTGGGGCCATATGAGAGGACAGGGGGGTGGGGCCATATGACAGGACAGGGGGGTGGGGCCATATGACAGGACAGGGGGGTGGGGGCCATATGACAGGACAGGGGGGTGGGGCCATATGACAGGACAGGGGGGTGGGGCCATATGAGAGGACAGGGGGGTGGGGCCATATGACAGGACAGGGGGGTGGGGCCATATGACAGGACAGGGGGGTGGGGCCATATGACAGGACAGGGGGGTGGGGCCATATGACAGGACAGGGGGGTGGGGCCATATGACAGGACAGGGGGGTGGGGCCATATGAGAGGACAGGGGGGTGGGGCCATATGAGAGGACAGGGGGGTGGGGCCATATGACAGGACAGGGGGGTGGGGCCATATGACAGGACAGGGGGGTGGGGCCATATGACAGGACAGGGGGGTGGGGCCATATGACAGGACAGGGGGGTGGGGCCATATAAGAGGACAGGGGGGTGGGGCCATGTATTGTGTTCTTTTCGTAGTATTAAACTTGAAGTACTGTGTTATTTTGTAGTATTAAACTCGAAGTATTGTGTTATTTTCGTAGTATTACACTTGAAGTATTGTGTTCTTTTGTAGTATTAAACGTGAAGTATTGTGTTCTTTCATAGTATTAAACTTGAAGTATTGTGTTATTTTCGTAGTATTAAACTTGAAGTATTGTGTTATTTTCGTAGTATTAAACTTGAAGCCCCTAACCTGATGTTATATTGTGTCTGTGTTTTCTATGCAGTGAGATGTGGAGAGCTGGACTTTTAGGTTCCAGTTCAGTGGATAACTAACACACACTATGTGCTTTAGCTGTGTCTTATGAGATTAGAGGTAGAAACACATGATTCGTTTGGGAGGAGAGGAGAGGCAGGGTGACCTACAGAGAGGAGAGGTAGGGTGACCTACAGAGAGGAGAGGAGAGGCAGGGTGACCTACAGAGAGGAGAGGTAGGGTGACCTACAGAGAGGAGAGGCAGGGTGACCTACAGAGAGGAGAGGCAGGGTGACCTACAGAGAGGAGAGGAGAGGCAGGGTGACCTACAGAGAGGAGAGGCAGGGTGACCTACAGAGAGGAGAGGTAGGGTGACCTACAGGGAGGAGAGGAGAGGCAGGGTGACCCACAGAGAGGAGAGGAGAAGCAGGGTGACCTACAGAGAGGAGAGGCAGGGTGACCTACAGAGAGGAGAGGAGAGGCAGGGTGACCTACAGAGAGGAGAGGTAGGGTGACCTACAGAGAGGAGAGGAGAGGCAGGGTGACCTACAGAGAGGTGAGGCAGGGTGACCTACAGAGAGGAGAGGAGAGGCAGGGTGACCTACAGAGAGGAGAGGCAGGGTGACCTACAGGGAGGAGAGGAGAGGCAGGGTGACCCACAGAGAGGAAAGGAGAAGCAGGGTGACCTACAGAGAGGAAAGGTAGGGTGACCTACAGGGAGGAGAGAAGAGCAGGGTGACCTATAGAGAGGAAAGGTAGGATGACCTATAGGGAGGAGAGGCAGGGTGACCTACAGGGAGGAGAGGAGAAGCAGGGTGACCTACAGAGAGGAGAGGAGAAGCAGGGTGACCTACAGAGAGGAGAGGTAGGGTGACCTACAGAGAGGAGAAGTAGGGTGACCTGCAGAGTGGAGAAGTAGGGTGACCTACAGGGAGGAGAGGAGAGGCAGGGTGACCTACAGGGAGGAGAGGAGAGGCAGGGTGACCTACAGGGAGGAGAGGAGAGGCAGGGTGACCTACAGGGAGGAGAGGAGAAGCAGGGTGACTTACAGAGTGGAGAGGCAGGGTGACCTACAGAGAGGAGAAGTAGGGTGACCTACAGGGAGGAGAGGAGAGGCAGGGTGACCTACAGGGAGGAGAGGAGAGGCAGGGTGACCTACAGGGAGGAGAGGAGAGGCAGGGTGACCTACAGAGAGGAGAGGCAGGGTGACCTACAGAGAGGAGAGGAGAGGCAGGGTGACCTACAGAGAGGAGAGGCAGGGTGACCTACAGAGAGGAGAGGAGAGGCAGGGTGAACTACAGAGAGGAGAGGCAGGGTGACCTACAGAGAGGAGAGGTAGGGTGACCTACAGGGAGGAGAGGAGATGCAGGGTGACCCACAGAGAGGAGAGGAGAAGCAGGGTGACCTACAGAGAGGAGAGGCAGGGTGACCTACAGAGAGGAGAGGAGAGGCAGGGTGACCTACAGAGAGGAGAGGAGAGGCAGGGTGACCTACAGAGAGGAGAGGTAGGGTGACCTACAGGGAGGAGAGGAGAGGCAGGGTGACCCACAGAGAGGAAAGGAGAAGCAGGGTGACCTACAGAGAGGAAAGGTAGGGTGACCTACAGGGAGGAGAGAAGAGCAGGGTGACCTATAGAGAGGAAAGGTAGGATGACCTATAGGGAGGAGAGGCAGGGTGACCTACAGGGAGGAGAGGAGAAGCAGGGTGACCTACAGAGAGGAGAGGAGAAGCAGGTGACCTACAGAGAGGAGAGGTAGGGTGACCTACAGAGAGGAGAAGTAGGGTGACCTGCAGAGAGGAGAGGTAGGGTGACCTACAGAGAGGAGAGGAGAGGCAGGGTGACTTACAGAGTGGAGAGGAGAAGCAGGGTGACTTACAGAGTGGAGAGGCAGGGTGACCTACAGAGAGGAGAAGTAGGGTGACCTACAGGGAGGAGAGGAGAGGCAGGGTGACCTACAGGGAGGAGAGGAGAGGCAGGGTGACCTACAGGGAGGAGAGGAGAAGCAGGGTGACTTACAGAGTGGAGAGGCAGGGTGACCTACAGAGAGGAGAAGTAGGGTGACCTACAGGGAGAAGAGGAGAGGCAGGGTGACCTACAGGGAGGAGAGGAGAGGCAGGGTGACCTACAGGGAGGAGAGGAGAAGCAGGGTGACCTACAGAGAGGAGAGGTAGGGTGACCTACAGGGAGGAGAGGAGGGGTTCACATCAACAACAAGAACTCACAAGAGTATGTGGTTTGTTGTGGTTTGTTGTTGTGGCAATACCCCCCTGCTACATTAGTTGTAGGCCATGACTATGGATATGGTAACCTCTTTCTTAAAGCTAAAGATTCGGATCACGTTCTGCGCATGTGTTGTATCAAATCATATGTTATTTGTTACATGTGCCGAATACAACCGGTGTAGACCTTACAGTGAAATGCTTACTTACAAGCCCTTAACCAACAATGCAGTTTTAAGAAAAATAAGTGTTAAGTAAAAAATAGAAAAATAACAAATAATTAAAGAGCAGCAGTAAAATAACAGTAGTGAGGCTATATACAGGGGGTACCGGTACAGAGTCAATGTGCGGCGGGGGGCACAGGTTAGTCGAGGTAATTGAGGTAATATGTACATGTGGGTAGAGGTAACGTGACTATGCATAGATAATAAACAGAGAGTAGCAGCAGCGTAAAAAGAGGGGGTGGGGTGGGGGGGACAATGCAAATAGTCCGGGTAGCCATTTGATTAGCTGTTCAGGAGTCTTATGGCTTAGGGGTAGAAGCTATTAAGAAGCCTTTTGGACCTAGACTTGGCGCTCCGGTACCGCTTGCCGTGCGGTAGCAGAGAGAACAGTCTATGACTAGGGTGGCTGGAGTCTTTGGCTATTTTTAGGGCCTTCCTCTGACACCGCCTGGTATAGATTCCCTGGATGGCAGGATGCTTGGCCCCAGTGATGTTCTGGGCCATACGCACTACCCTCTGTAGTGCCTTGCGGTCGGAGGCCGAGCAGTTGCCATACCAGGCGGTGATGCAACCAGTCAGGATGCT